TACAACAGCTGTCTGTTGTCAGAGAATTTGACATCAGTGAGGATTTCAGAGAGACATTGGTTCAGCTGTCAGTCCAGGCTTACTGTTCAGCTCTTAGATCAGCCAAGCTAGTTAGAGTCTTGGATAAGGTCAGCTACTTAAGAATAATTATTATTGTTATTATTGGTAATGTTGTGGTGGACACATTTATGATTGTTGAAGATGAACATATTTGTGGATGTTGTGTTGGACACATTTATGATTGTTGATGATGAGTATATTTGTGGATGTTGTGTTGGACACATTTATGATTGTTGATGATGAGTATATTTGTGGATGTTGTGTTGGACACATTAATGATTGTTGAAGATGAACATATTTGTGGATGTTGTGTTGGACACATTTATGATTGTTGAAGATGAACATATTTGTGGATGTTGTGTTGGACACATTTATGATTATTGATGTTGTGCTGGTATTGAGCATATTTGTGAATGTTGTCATCCAAGTGTCACATTTAGATGTCTGCTTTATCCTTGTTTACCTTCATAACCTGACATATGTCACATGTAGACATTCGCTCTATCCTTGATGACCTTCATAGCCTGACGTATGGCACATGTAGACTTCTACTCTATCCTTGATGACCTTTAAAGCCTGACATATGTCACATGTAGACATCCACTCTTTCCTTGATGACCTTCATAGCCTGACGTATGGCACATCTAGACTTCTACTTTATCCTTGATGACCTTCATAGCCTGACATATGTCACATGTAGACATCCACTCTATCCTTGATGACCTTCATAGCCTGACGTATGGCACATGTAGACTTCTACTTTATCCTTGATGACCTTTATAGCCTGACATATGTCACATGTAGACATCCACTCTATCCTTGATGACCTTCATAGCCTGACATATGGCACATGTAGACATCCACTCTATCCTTGATGACCTTCATAGCCTGACAAATGTCACATGTAGACATCCACTCTAACCTTGATGACCTTCATAGCCTTTTACATACCCTCTCTCAGAGAAGTCCAAGAAAAGTATTAGTCCACTCATACTTGAAAGGCTTATGAGCTCTTGAAGTCTTAACTTTCCTTACATCTACCACAACTTTACATCTAGCCCAACCTGACATCTCCCACAACTTTACATCTAGCCTAACCTGACATCTATCATAACTTTACATCTAGCCCAACCTGACATCTCCCACAACTTTACATCTAGCCTAACCTGACATCTATCATAACTTTACATGTAGCCCAACCTGACATCTACCACAACTTTACATCTAGCCCAACCTGACATCTACCACAACTTTACATCTAGCCTAACCTGACATCTACCATAACTTTACACCTAGCCCAACCTGACATCTACCACAACTTTACATCTAGCCTAACCTGACATCTACCAGAAGTTTACATGTAGCCCAACCTGACATCTCCCATAATTTTACATGTAGCCCAACCTGACATCTCCCATAATTTTACATCTAGCCCAACCTGACATCTCCCATAATTTTACATCTAGCCCAACCTGACATCTCCCACAACTTTACATCTAGCCCAACCTGACATCTCCCACAACTTTACATGTAGCCCAACCTGACATCTACCACAATTTTACATCTAGCCCAACCTGACATCTCCCATAACTTTACATCTAGCCCAACCTGACATCTATCACAACTTTACATCTAGCCCAACCTGACATCTCCCATAACTTTACATCTAGCCCAACCTGACATCTATCACAACTTTACATCTAGCCCAACATGACATCTATCACAACTTTACATCTAGCCCAACATGAAAGACGAGAAATAAATTATGACTTCCATTGGCAAGGTAACAGCAGCATTTGAAAGCTTGAACAAAATATGGAATTTTAAATTATATGGTTTAAAATAAAATGATCACTCTGGGTTACAGGGCCTTATCATTGGGGAAGGGGTAGGAATAGACCCACAGTCTTCCTAACAGGAATATCATAAGAGTCGACTAGTTAAGGGTTACCTTCTAAGTTAGAGTGCATTTTCCTGAGAAACAAGGAACCAGCAGTCTGCACACAAATAAGCCAGATCTGTAAAACTGATGTGCATGCAAAACTCAGGTTCAGGAATAAGACTAAATCCAGAAGTGGACAAACTTCCAGAACTGTACGTGTGAATTTTCAGCTGGTGAATAAGAAGAAGAAGAAATCAAGTTGCATATTTTTAATTCTGTGTTGTTTTATTCAGTTTGAGCTAATGTCTGTGAAAGTTAGAGAGCCACCAACTGAACATTTCATTTGATTTGGTTCAAGAATCGACATCACAGCACTCAGGGCATTCCAATAAGCACTCCGTCCCCATCTTTAGCAGCCAGCAAAGAGTTCCGATACTAATGGTGCCAGTCAACTGAACATTATTGAACTCATGCCTGTGGAAGTTAGAGAGCCACTAACTGAACATTAATGAACTGATGCCTGTGAAACTGAGCCACTAACTGAACATTAATGAACTGATACCTATGAAAGTTAGAGAGCCACTAACTGAACATTAATGAACTGATGCCTATGAAAGTTAGAGAGCCACTAACTGAACATTAATGAACTGATGCCTGTGAAAGTTAGAGAGCCACTAACTGAACATTAATGAACTGATGCCTGTGAAAGTTAAAGAGCCACTAACTGAACATTAATGAACTGATGTCTGTGAAAGTTAGAGAGCCACTAACTGAACATTAATGAACTGATGTATGTGAAAGTTAGAGAGCCACTAACTGAACATTAATGAACTGATGCCTGTGAAAGTTAGAGAGCCACTAACTGAACATTAATGAGCTGATGTCTTTGAAAGTTAGAGAGCCACTAACTGAACATTAATGAACTGATGTCTGTGAAACTGAGCCACTAACTTAACATTAATGAATTGATGCCTGTGAAAGTTAGAGAGCCACTAACTCAACATGAATGAACTGATGCCTGTGAAGGTTAGAGAGCCACTAACTAAACATTAATGAACTGATGTCTTTGAAAGAGAGCCACTAACTGAACATTAATGAACTCATGCCTGTGTAAGTTAGAGAGCCACTAACTGAACATTAATGAACTCATGCCTGTAAAAGTTAGAGAGCCACTAACTGAACATTAATGAACTGATGCCTGTGAAAGTTAGAGAGCCACTAACTGAACATTAATGAACTGATGCCTGTGAAAGTTAGAGAGCCACTAACTGAACATTAATGAACTGATGTCTTTGAAAGTTAGAGAGCCACTAACTGAACATTAATGAACTGATGCCTGTGAAAGTTAGAGAGCCACTAACTAAACATTAATGAACTGATGCCTGTGAAAGTTAGAGAGCCACTAACTAAAAAATTAATGAACTGATGCCTGTGAAAGTTAGAGAGCCACTAACTGAACATTAATGAATTGATGCCTGTGAAAGTTAGAGAGCCACTACCTGAACATTAATGAACTGATGTCTTTGAAAGTTAGAGAGCCACTAACTGAACATTAATGAACTGATGTCTTTGAAAGTTAGAGAGCCACTAACTGAACATTAATGAACTGATGTCTTTGAAAGTTAGAGAGCCACTAACTAAACATTAATGAACTGATGCCTGTAAAAGTTAGAGAGCCACTAACTGAACATTAATGAACTGATGCCTGTGAAAGTTAGAGAGCCACTAACTGAACATTAATGAAATGATGCCTGTGAAAGTTAGAGAGCCACTAACTGAACATTAAATGCGTTCAAAACCACATGCCTGAGGAAACTAATAAACATCAAGTGGGATGAGTTCAAGAAAGTTGTAGAAAATTGAGTGTCTGGACAAGCACAGTTAAAATGGATGCTAGACAGCGGCGCTGTTCGAAGCAGAGGCAAATTTTTGCCGAAGTATTTTTGCTCCAATTGAAGACTGGATATAGTTTTGTCGCCCAGCTTCTGAGTTGAATGCTTCCCTGTGAGCTGCGGATTGCATTTGGAATGTATTTTCGACTGTGACCAACGTGGTGGTGTGAATTGTAGATTCAGAAAGTGGCATGATGCCTGTCGTGCAATTTTGGCGCTGCCCGTATGTGATTACAATTGATCGCGTAGGCAACTGCTGATCTGTTGGCGACAAGTTCTGCTATCATCAATGATGAACTGCATTTCTAATGTTGGACTGTATGATGGCTACAGTATGCTTTAATGCAAGTGTATGTTAGATATGTTAAGACAGCAGTCTGTCAATCTTTCCACAAGGGACTGTGATAAACATTCTGAGTGTTTTTCGTTGGCACAGGAGCGGAGCAAAGATGGGGCGACCCGTTTGCTATGAAGCTGAAACTAAGACTACCAGACTACCATCAACAGTTATAAGTCAAGAAAGTTGTAGAAATTGAGTGTCTGGACGAGCACAGGTATCAACAGTTATAAGTCAAAAAAGTTGTAGAAATCGAGTGTCTGGACGAGCACAGGTATCAACAGTTATAAGTAAAGAAAGGTTTAGAAACTTAGTGTCTGGACGAGCTCAGGTATCAACAGTTATAAGTCAAGAAAGGTTTAGAAACTTAGTGTCTGGACGAGCTCAGGTATCAACAGTTATAAGTCAAGAAAGGTTTAGAAACTGAGTGTCTGGACGAACTCAGGTATCAACAGTTATGTAAAAGATGAGGAGGCAGCATTGGGCATATCTTGAGAGTGGAACAGAGAATCACCAGACAGGCACTGAGAAACAGATGGATTGAAGATACAAGGATGTTCATGAGAAACCTCACAATGAATGTTGATGGGTGAGGCCAAAGGTGCTGGACTGGATTCTGTCTATTATATAGAGAGGACAGCACAGCACAAAACAGAAAGGAAGAATCAACTGTGAGCCCTGTATTACATGTTTTAGCACAATATGATTATGATGTGCAGTCTAGAGTGATTGATAACAAATCTTTTGTGCACATCTCTTGCAGGTTCTCAGATGTCTGCCTCTGTCTTATTGGTCCGGTTTTCTCCTGGAGATGGATGTGATGCTAGAGCATCTCTTACAGAGCTGCAAGCTGGCGGACCTGAAAACATGTAACTGTGCAGCCTGTCTTGTTGACTTGTGCCCATTAATCACTCTCTCACTCTCATATCTACAGTACTTGTACAATTCTTCTTTGATCACCAGCTGTAAACTCTGATGGAAAGTCTTTCTTTTTTTTCCACTTGGACTTTGTTTTTGTGCCACAGCCTGCATTTTGCATGTAGATCCATTCTACAGGCTTATTTTTGTTCAGTTGGTTGTTCTTTGCCACTCTGGCAAGTATACTCCAACTTTGAAGGAAGCTCCCAATTAGTCAACTTCTACGACACGCTTGTTGGGAAGGCAGTGGGTCTGTTCTTGTGTTTCCCCCAATGGAGACCTTGAACTCACATGGAGAACTTGTAGTTGGACTGACTAATTTCACTGTTGTGGGTCTTAGTTTCACTCTCCAGGGATCTTACCTTCATCAGTGCTTTCCCATTCAGTCTGTGGACACACTACTTCACTTTGACTGACATCAGTTGCTGGCAATGTATCATGAGTATCTGTACATCGCATCTCTAGAGCTATACATTTTTGTTTGTTGCTGTAGTTATTTCTGTTTAATGTATTCTGTCCTTCAATGAAAAATATATCTCAACATTAGTTACAGGTGTGTCCTCTTGTTACTATCTTGGTGTTTTCTTCAGTTCACATTTTTTTTATATGTTGTTAACTATTTCTCTCTAATATGTATTCTTCCCGTAGATCTGTGGATCTTTGATCATTCCTCTTAAATGTATTCTTCCTATATATCTTTGATCATTTCTTTGTATGGAATCTTACTATTGATCATTTCTTTGTATGGAATCTTACTATTGATCATTTCTTTGTATGGAATCTTACTAATGATCATTTCTTTGTATGGAATCTTACTATTGATCATTTCTTTGTATGGAATCTTACAATTGATCATTTCTTTGTATGGAATCTTACTAATGATCATTTCTTTGTATGGAATCTTACTATTGATCATTTCTTTGTATGGAATCTTACTATTGATCATTAGTCATTTTTTATGGTATGTAATGTTGCTGTAGATGTTTTAGTCATACCTCTGTTTTACACACATTTGTGTGTATGTGTATGTAGATATATATATTTAACCACATGCACCCATATATATATATATGGGATGAATTCAAAAGGAGTGAAGCAATAAGAGAAATGTCTGGGCAACCACTAGTATCAACAGCCAGTTATAAAACAGAGAAGATGGCGCTTTATTGGAGAGATCCTGAGAAGAAGCGAGCAGAGAATCACTATACAGGCATTATAGTTAGGGGGGAAAAAAGCCAACAAAGAAGGCAAGGATGCCAAAAAGAAACCCTAAAATGAGAGAGGCCAAGAATGCTGGACTGGATTCCATCCATGATATTGAATTGATTGCACAGGGTAGAATATAAATTAAGGAATTGTCTGCAAGCCTTATGTGACATCCATAGCACAATAGGCTATTGATAATGATGAATGATATAGAAGTTTTTAATGATCTGGTCAAATTGTCCCCATGAAGTATTCTTACGTGTGTGTGTGTATTTGGCTGTATGTTTATGCTTGAGCAGCACCGTATAGATAGTGGAGTAATGATATGTTCTCTACCCTGGTTGTATGTCCACGCTTGAGCAGCACCGTATAGATAGTGGAGTAATGATATGTTCTCTACCCTGGTTGTATGTCCATGCTTGAGCAGCACTGTATAGATAGTGGAGTAATGATATGTTCTCTACCCTGGTTGTATGTCCATGCTTGAGCAGCACCGTATAGATAGTGGAGTAATGATATGTTCTCCATCTGGTTGTATGTCCATGCTTGAGTAGCACTATCTGGATAGTGAGGTAATGATATGTTCTCTACCCTGGTTGTATGTCCATGCTTGAGTAGCACCATCTGGATAGTGAGGTAATGATACGTTCCCCACCCTGGTTGTATGTCCATGCTTGAGCAGCACCGTATAGATAGTGGAGTAATGATACGTTCCCCACCTGGCTGTATGTCCATGCTTGAGTAGCACCATCTGGATAGTGAGGTAATATGTTCCCCACCCTGGTTGTATGTCCTTGCTTGAGTAGCACCATCTGGATAGTGAGGTAATGATATGTTCCCCACCCTGGTTGTATGTCCATGCTTGAGTAGCACCATCTGGATAGTGAGGTAATTATACGTTCCCCACCCTGGTTGTATGTCCATGCTTGAGCAGCACCGTATAGATAGTGGAGTAATGATATATTCTCTACCCTGGTTGTATGTCCATGCTTGAGCAGCACCGTATAGAGTGGAGTATTGATATGTTCTCTACCCTGGTTGTATGTCCACGCTTGAGTAGCACCATCTGGTTAGTGAGGTAATGATATGTTCTCTACCCTGGTTGTATGTCCACGCTTGAGCAGCACCGTATCGATAGTGGAGTAATGATATGTTCTCTACCCTGGTTGTATGTCCATGCTTGAGCAGCACCGTATAGATAGTGGAGTAATGATATGTTCTCTACCCTGGTTGTATGTCCACGCTTGAGCAGCACCGTATAGATAGTGGAGTAATGATATGTTCTCTACCCTGGTTGTATGTTTATGCTTGAGCAGCACCGTATAGATAGTGGAGTATTGATATGTTCCCCACCCTGGTTGTATGTCCACGCTTGAGCAGCACCATCTGGATAGTGAGGTAATGATATGTTCTCCACCCTGGTTGTATGTCCATGCTTGAGTAACACCATCTGGATAGTTAGGTAATGATACGTTCCTCACCCTGGCTGTATGTCCACGCTTGAGCAGCACCATCTGGATAGTTAGGTAATGATACGTTCCCCACCTGGCTGTATGTCCATGCTTGAGTAGCACCATCTGGATAGTTAGGTAATGATATGTTCCCCACCCTGGTTGTATGTTTTTGCTTGAGTAGCACCATCTGGATAGTTAGGTAATGATATGTTCCCCACCTGGCTGTATGTCCATGCTTGAGTAGCACCATCTGGATAGTTAGGTAATGATATGTTCCCCACCCTGGCTGAATGTCCATGCTTGAGTAGCACCATCTGGATAGTGAGGTAATGATACGTTCCCCACCCTGGCTGTATGTCCATGCTTGAGTAGCACCGTATAGATAGTGGAGTAATGATATGTTCTCTACCCTGGTTGTATGTCCATGCTTGAGTAGCACCATCTGGATAGTGAGGTAATGATACGTTCCCCATCCTGGCTGTATGTCCATGCTTGAGCAGCACCATCTGGATAGTGAGGTAATGATATGTTCTCCACCTGGCTATATGTCCATGCTTGAGTAGCACCATCTGGATAGTGAGGTAATGATATGTTCCCCACCCTGGCTGTATGTCCATGCTTGAGTAGCACCATCTAGATAGTGAGGTAATGATATGTTCTCCACCTGGCTATATGTCCATGCTTGAGTAGCACCATCTGGATAGTTAGGTAATGATATGTTCCCCACCCTGGCTGTATGTCCATGCTTGAGTAGCACCATCTAGATAGTGAGGTAATGATATGTTCCCCACCCTGGCTGTATGTCCATGCTTGAGTAGCACCATCTGGATAGTGAGGTCATGATATGTTCCCCACCCTGGTTGTCATCCTAGTGTCTGCACTGTTGGATCACAGTCTTGCCACACAGCTGAGTCTGCACAGACATTTTGATTCGTGTACAAGCTTGTTACAGGATCTACTAGGAACATGTTCACATGTGACTGATGGGGCAGGCTATGGTCAGGAGTTTCAGCACTACTCAGCAAAGGTATGCCTGCCATGTTTCATAATTGACAGTATTATATACCAGTGAAGATGTATGGACTACTATATCACCACTCCCATGTCTGAGCTACTATATCACCACTCCCATGTTGTTTTAACTATCATATCACCACTCTCATGTTTGAGCTACTATATCACTACTTTCATGTTTTTTTAAGTATCAGATCACCACTCCCATGTTTGAGCTACTTAAATCACCACTCCCATGTTTGAGCTACTATATCACCACTCCCATGTTGTTTTAACTATCAGATCACCACTCCCATGTTTGAGCTACTTAAATCACCACTCCCATGTTTGAGCTACTATATCACCGCTCCCATGTTGTTTTAACTATCAGATCACCACTCCCATGTTTGAGCTACTTAAATCACCACTCCCATGTTTGAGCTACTATATCACCACTCCATGTTGTTTTAACTATCAGATCACCACTCCCATGTTTGAACTACTTAAATCACCACTCCCATGTTTGAGCTACTATATCACCACTCCCATGTTGTTTTAATTATCCAATCACCACTCCCATGTTTGAGCTACTTAAATCACCACTCCCGTGTTTGAGCTACTATATCACCACTCCCATGTTGTTTTAACTATCAGATCACCACCCCATGTTTGAGCTACTATATCACCACTCCCATGTTGTTTTAACTATCAGATCACCACTCCCATGTTTGAGCTACTATATCACCACTCCCATGTTGTTTTAACTATCAGATCACCACTCCCATGTTTGAGCTACTTAAATCACCACTCCCGTGTTTGAGCTACTATACCACCACTCCCATGTTGTTTTAACTATCAGATCACCACCCCATGTTTGAGCTACTTAAATCACCACTCCCATGTTTGAGCTACTATATCACCACTCCCTAGTTGTTTTAACTATCCAATCACCACTCCCATGTTTGAGCTACTAAATCACCACTCCCATATTTGCTCAATGAAATCACCACTCCCATGTTTGAGCAACTATATCACCATTCTCATCTTGTTTAGTACCAGATCACCAGAGGTGTTCAGAATTGTCTCAGCAGCCCGCCAACCCGCCATTGCTAACATGTGCATGGACAAGAGCAACACAGATTGCATTCCCCTAGCTGTGTTCAGGATATATATTTCCAGTATTTAAGTGTTATCCATATTTGTTTCCTTACTTTTGTGTATTTAAGTGTTGCCCATATTTGTTTCCTTACTTTTGTGTATTTAAGTGTTGCCCATATTTGTTTCCTTACTTTTGTGTATTTAAGTATTGCCCATATTTGTTTCCTTACTTTTGTGTATTTAAGTGTTGCCCATATTTGTTTCCTTACTTTTGTGTATTTAAGTGTTATCCATATTTGTTTCCTTACTTTTGTGTATTTAAGTGTTGCCCATATTTGTTTCCTTACTTTTGTGTATCTTAGTGTTGTCCATATTTGTTTCCTTACTTTCGTGTATTTAAGTATTGCCCATATTTGTTACATACAGTTGTGTATTTAAGTATTGCCCATATTTGTTACATACAGTTGTGTATTTAAGTATTGCCCATATTTGTTACATACAGTTGTGTATTTAAGTATTGCCCATATTTGTTACATACAGTTGTGTATTTAAGTATTGCCCATATTTGTTACATACAGTTGTGTATATGTGCCATGTAAATTTCTTCCAAACAGTTGTGAATTCAAGTGTTGTGTATATTTGTTCCATACAGTTGTGTATACAAGTGCTGCTTATATTTGTTCCACACAGTTGTGTATTCAAGTGTTGTGTAAATTTGTTCCATATAGTTGTGAATTCAAGTGTTGCATATATTTGTTCCATACAGGTGTGAATTCAAGTGCTGCATATATTTGTTCTGTACAGTTGTGTATTCAAGTGCTGTGTATATTTGTTCCATACAGTTGTGTATTTAAGTGTTGTGTAAATTTGTTCCATACAGTTGTGTATTCAAGTGCTGCATATATTTGTTCCATACAGTTGTGTATTCAAGTGTTGCATATATTTGTTCCATACAGTTGTGTATTTAAGTGCTGCATATATTTGTTTCACACAGTTGTGTATTCAAGTGCTGCATATATTTGTTCCATACAGTTGTGTATTCAAGTGCTGCATATATTTGTTCCATACAGTTGTGTATTACAGTGTTGCAAATATTTATTCTGTACAGCTGTGTATTCAAGTGTTGGGTATATTTGTTCCATACAGCTGTGTATTCAAGTGTTGCAAATATTTGTTCTATACAGCTGTGTATTCAAGTGTTGGGTATATTTGTTCCATACAGCTGTGTATTCAAGTGTTGCGTATATATGCACATGATGTGAAGTCAGCCTTCAGCTCAACCTGCAGGGATGTGGATGAAGCCTGTGTGACCAGCATGAGGCAAAGCTGGAACAGAATTCTGGCAGCATTGATAGCTCTCCTTGTACAGGTAGATTTTAAACTGTCATAGATGGTTGGCTGCTGTTTTGTAATTTCACAACCTCAGAAACTAATGTCCTGAAAACATTGAGGAAAGACTGCCACTGACAACAATAGCTGTCTCAGACTGCCACTTAGAACAACAGCTGTCTCAAACAGCCACTGACAACAATAGCTGTCTCAGACTGCCACTGACAACAATAGCTGTCTCAGACTGCCACTGACAACAATAGCTGTCTCAGACTGCCACTGACAACAATAGCTGTCTCAGACTGCCACTGACAACAATAGCTGTCTCAGACTGCCACTGACAACAATAGCTGTCTCAAACAGCCACTGAAAACAATAGCTGTCTCAGACTGCCACTGACAACAATAGCTGCTCTCAGACTGTCATTGATAACAATAGCTGTCTCAGAATACCACTGACAACAATAGCTGTCTCAGACTACCACTGACAACAATAGCTGCTATCAGACTGCTATTGACAACAATAGCTGTCTCAGACTACCACTGACAACAATAGCTGCTCTCAGACGGCCACTGAGAACAATAGCTGTCTCAGACTGCCACTGACAACAATAGCTGTCTCAGACTGCCACTGACAACAATAGCTGTCTCAGACTGTCACCGACAACAATAGCTGCTCTCAGACTGCCACTGACAACAATAGCTGTCTCAGACTACCACTGAGAACAATAGATGTCTCAGACTGCCACCGACAACAATAGCTGTCTCAGACTGCCACTGACAACAATAGCTGTCTCAGACTGCCACTGACAACAATAGCTGTCTCAGACTGCCACTGACAACAATAGCTGTCTCAGACTGCCACTGACAATAATAGATGCTCTCAGACTGCCACTGACAACAATAGCTGTCTCAGACTACCACTGAGAACAATAGCTGTCCCAGACTGCCACTGACAACAATAGCTGTCTCAGACTACCACTGACAACAATAGCTGTCTCAGACTGCCACTGAGAACAATAGCTGTCTCAGACTGCCACTGAGAACAATAGCTGTCTCAGACTGCCACTGAGAACAATAGCTGTCTCAGACTGCCACTGAGAACAATAGCTGTCTCAGACTGCCACTGACAACAATAGCTGTCTCAGACTGCCACTGAGAACAATAGATGTCTCAGACTACCACTGAGAACAATAGATGTCTCAGATTGCCACTGACAACAATAGCTGTCTCAGACTGCCACTGAGAACAATAGATGTCTCAGACTGCCACTGACAACAATAGCTGTCTAAGACTGCCACTGAGAACAATAGCTGTCCCAGACTGCCACTGAGAACAATAGCTGTCTCAGACTGCCACTGACAACAATAGCTGTCTCAGACTACCACTGACAACAATAGCTGCTCTCAGACTGCCACTGACAACAATAGCTGTCTCAGACTGCCACTGACAACAATAGCTGCTCTCAGACTGCCACTGAGAACAATAGCTGTCTCAGACTGCCACTGAGAACAATAGATGTCTCAGACTGGCACTGAGAACAATAGATGTATCAGACTGACACTGAGAAAAATAGTAGTCTCAGACTGCCACTGACAACAATAGATGCTCTCAGACTGCCACTGACAACAATAGATAATCTCAGACTGTATGTTTTGCCTTGCTTTAAGGCCATATCAGTTGTTTCTACTGTATGTTTTGCCATGCTTGAAGGACCTTGTCATTTGTTTCTTCTGCGTTTTCTCCTGTCTGAGCATTTGTACAAGTTATATGCTATGCAGAAGTTGCACTGTCCATGTGTTTTTATCTCACTTCTGGAACTGACTCATCTTGTTTGTGTGTGTGTCCATGTGTTTTTATCTCACTTCTGTCACTGACTCATCTTGTTTGTCTGTGTGTCCATGTGTTTTATCTCACTTCAGTCATCTTGGTTGTCTTTTTTGTCTGTGACATAGCTGTGTGACGACCATGTTTTTTGTCTCACTTGTGTCACTGATTCGTCTTGTTTGTCTTGTTCATTGTTCATTTCAAGATAGCCTTTGATCTAGGATAACCAAAAGTTCTGTGATCTTTTAAACATGTTTCTTGGTGTGTTTACGCTGATGACTCCTTTTCTATGTAACCATGTGTTTTGTTTCACTTTTATTCTGTGTTCTGTTGGGCCTTTTTTCCTTGTTTTTTCCCTGTTTTTGATCTTCATTGTGTAAGTCTCATTCATTATTCTGTCTGCATTTGTTTTTGCTGTTGTTGTTGTTATTTTTGTTGTCATCTTGTTGTTGTTGTTACACGTATACAGTGTTGTCTGCTTTCAGTCATTTCTCAACAATGTTTAACACAGTGATATTGTGTTTATTTTCAGATATCAAATCCAGAGACTGTACATTTGCTGGGAACAGCGTTGATCATGGCCATCACTTATGCCCCCAGTGTTGATATGACACAGACCACATGCAAGAGTTTGCTGTCAATGTTTTCATGTGGTAGGGTTACGTTACCTGTTGTTGTGTGGCAGGGCTCACTATAATTGTTATAAGCCTACATTACCTGTTACTTTCAACGTTATACTTGGTTTACTGTAAATGTTTTGCAGTGTTTACTGTCAGTGTTATACAAGTTTTACTATCAATGTTATATACAAGGTTTACTATCACTGTTGTATAGTGTTTATTAACAGTGTTATTTAGAGTTTATTGTTAATGTTATTGAGGGTTTACTGTCAGTATTATATAATGTTTACTATTAGTGTGTATACATACTGTCAGTATTATACCGGGTATACTTTCAGTGTTATACCCGGTATACTATCAGTATTATACCGGGTATACTATCAGTGTTATACCGGGTATACTGTCAGTGTTATACCGGGTATACTGTCAGTGTTTTACCCGGTATACTATCAGTGTTATACCTGGTATACTATCAATGTTATACCGGGTATACTATCAGTGTTATACTTGGTATACTATCAGTATTATACCGGGTATACTATCAGTGTTATACCGGGTATACTATCAGTGTTATACCAGGTATACTATCAGTGTTATACCGGGTATACTGTCAGTGTTATACCGGGTATACTATCAGTGTTATACTGGGTATACTATCAGTGTTATACTGGGTATACTATCAGTGTTATACCAGGTATACTATCAGTGTTTTACTGAGTATACTATCAGTGTTATACTGAGTATACTATCAATGTTATACCGGGTATACTGTCAGTGTTATACCGGGTATACTATCAGTGTTATACCGGGTATACTATCAGTGTTTTACTGGGTATACTATCAGTGTTATACTGGGTATACTATCAGTGTTATACTGGGTATACTATCAGTGTTATACCAGGTATACTATCAGTGTTTTACTGGGTATACTATCAGTGTTATACTGGGTATACTATCGGTGTTGTACTGGGTATACTATCAGTGTTATACTGGGTATACTGTCAGTGTTATACTGGGTATACTATCAGTGTTATACCGGGTATACTGTCAGTGTTATACTGGGTATACTATCAGTGTTATACTGGGTATACTATCAGTGTTATACTGGGTATACTATCAGTGTTATACCAGGTATACTATCAGTGTTTTACTGAGTATACTATCAGTGTTATACTGAGTATACTATCAGTGTTATACTGGGTATACTGTCAGTGTTATACCGGGTATACTATCAGTGTTATACCGGGTATACTATCAGTGTTATACCGGGTATACTATCAGTGTTATACTGGGTATACTATCAGTGTTATACTGGGTATACTATCAGTGTTATACCGGGTATACTATCAGTGTTATACTGGGTATACTATCAGTGTTATTCTGGGTATACTATCAGTGTTTTACTGAGTATACTATCAGTGTTATACTGGGTATACTATCAGTGTTTTACTGAGCATACTATCAGTGTTATACCAGGTATACTATCAGTGTTTTTCTGAGTATACTATCAGTGTTATACCAGGTATACTATCAGTGTTTTACTGAGTATACTATCAGTGTTATACTGGGTATACTATCAGTGTTTTACTGAGTATCCTATCAGTGTTATACTGGGTATACTATCAGTGTAATACCAGGTATACTATCAGTGTTATACCAGGTATACTATCAGTGTTATACTGGGTATACTATCAGTGTTATACCAGGTATACTATCGGTGTTGTACCAGGTATACTATCAGTGTTATACCAGGTATACTATCAGTGTTATACTGGGTATACTATCAGTGTTATACCAGGCATACTATCAGTGTTATACTGGGTATACTATCAGTGTAATACCAGGTATACTATCAATGTTATACCAGGCATACTATCAGTGTTATACCAGGCATACTATCAGTGTTATACTGGGTATACTATCAGTGTAATACCAGGTATACTATCAATGTTATACCAGGTATACTATCAATGTTATACTGGGTATACTATCAGTGTAATACCAGGTATACTATCAGTGTTTTACTGTGTATACTATCAGTGTTTTACTGAGTATACTATCAGTGTTATACCAGGTATACTATCAGTGTTATACCGGGTATACTATCAGTGTTATACCAGGTATACTATCAGTGTTTTACTGAGTACACTATCAGTGTTATACTGGGTATATTATCAGTGTTATACCGGGTATACTATCAGTGTTTTACTGGGTATACTATCAGTGTTATACTGGGTATACTATCAGTGTTATACCAGGTATACTATCAGTGTTATACCAGGTATACTATCAGTGTTATACCGGGTATACTATCAGTGTTATACCGGGTATACTATCAGTGTTATACTGGGTATACTATCAGTGTTATTCAGGGTTTCTTGTCCATTGTTAAAAGCCTGTATCACCCCTTACTGCAGAGCTGTTCAACTGAGTTTACTCAGAGGCCAACATTTTGAAAATAGGGATATTCATGAGTGAGAGGCCCAGTCCCTACCATAGAAAGATGTTTTAAAATAACTTGTTTACTAGTGTTTATGCAATGATCCACTGTGACTCTCTGTGGGCTGGATTTAGCTGGCATCCTTCCCTGCTTT